ATTTTTTTTTTTTTTTTTTTTTTTTGGTAGAGCTTGTCGGACTTTAAGTCTGTCGGTGACGTTATAGGATTTTTTTTATGCGAGTGACACGGTTACTTTGAATTTGCGTATTAATCTATACGATTTTTCTTTTTTTTTTCCTCTTTTCATTGGCCTCGTGGATAAATCGGCATTCGATTTTATCTCGTTTCGAGTTTACAGATTTACGGGAAAAAAAAAAATTCGAAAAATGAAGATACACGAGGAACAATGAAAAATAGAAACAAGACGAATGGAAATTGGACGTCCCCCTGGTCAGGCGCGTATGTGTGTCCGCAGATGAAATTTGCGTGCGGCGAAGTATTTTCCGTTCTATAAATTTTCAATGATTCGGAATTGCACAGTTATGCCCGCGCATGCGCAGACGGGGTCCTGACAATTTCACTCTGGTCACTGGTTAATTGGATCACGTCCGGTCAACTGGACATCGTTACGCTAAGAAGACTTAGCGCCGTTCGCACCGGATGAATTCGTCCTCGGCGCTTCCTTTCTGTAAATTTCAGAGCCGCCGTCCGTCCGCTCGATGCTGAGGTTAAAAGGCCAAAGTCGAGCGCAGAACGAGCGAGAGTACAAGGGGAGACAAGGGAATCTCCGTGGAGTCAATCTTCAAAGGAATCACGTGACTTCACTGGTTTATTGCAAAATTCTAGGATGCCGGGACATGTCCCCGAGACGTCCCTGCGAGGTCCCGAGTTCTTTGCTCGACATTTGACATCGGACGTCTTGCGTCAGATGAGCCAACGCTTTATGCGACGCTCCAACGCAGTCTGATGAACTCGTGTATACGCCCTGGTACCAGGTGCAACCTCAGCCAAGGAGTCACGTGACTTCACTGGTTTATTGCGAAATTCTAGGATGCCGGGACATGTCCCCGAGACGTCCCTGCGAGGTCCCGAGTTCTTTGCTCGACATTTGACATCGGACGTCTTGCGTCAGATGAGCCAACGCTTTATGCGACGCTCCAACGCAGTCTGATGAACTCGTGTATACGCCCTGGTACCAGGTGCAACCTCAGCCAAGGAGTCACGTGACTTCACTGGTTTATTGCGAAATTCTAGGATGCCGGGACATGTCCCCGAGACGTCCCTGCGAGGTCCCGAGTTCTTTGCTCGACATTTGACATCGGACGTCTTGCGTCAGATGAGCCAACGCTTTATGCGACGCTCCAACGCAGTCTGATGAACTCGTGTATACGCCCTGGTACCAGGTGCAACCTCAGCCAAGGAGTCACGTGACTTCACTGGTTTATTGCGAAATTCTAGGATGCCGGGACATGTCCCCGAGACGTCCCTGCGAGGTCCCGAGTTCTTTGCTCGACATTTGACATCGGACGTCTTGCGTCAGATGAGCCAACGCTTTATGCGACGCTCCAACGCAGTCTGATGAACTGGTGTATACGTCCTGGTACCAGGTGCAACCTCAGCCATGATCGTTTCTCACATTTTCTCTTTTTCTCTCGTCTTCTTGTGCTTCTCACTTTATTGCTTAATCGCCCGAGATTCACCATCGTGGCCTCAGCCTCTGGAAACGAGCCTTTGGGTATCTTGTCTCTGGCAAAAACCATCGAGACCCGCCACTCTGAGTGTGCAGGGTCTGAGCGAGGATCTTGGAGAAGAAAAGTCGGGCCTCGTAAAGTGATAAAATCTTGTGGGCTCTTTCTTTCCCTTCCGTTTCTGCATTTTTATTCTTTTCTCTCGGGTCGGCTCTTTCTTACTGGTATCCCCAGCTTGGCAAGAACCGGGAAGAATTCTTCTCGTACCGGCGAAGATGCGCTGAGGTCTCGGGTAGAGCCTGACGAAACACCTCGCGGGACGTCCTGCTCCATAATCATGCTCGGCCACTTGAGTCTACTCGCTTCGTTTAGCTTCTTTTCTTTTCGCTTCCAACGTTTTGTCGTTCGGAAAGCGGACGAGTATCCAAAGAGAATAAGTGAATCTGAGGTTGCTCGGGACCGATGCGCTTAGGCTCGTCGGCCTTCGCAGCGTCGCCGAGTCCATCTGAAGCGTAAAGGTCGAGAGGATTTCTGAGTTAGGTCTTGTTTCTATGACTAATTTTCTAAGAGCTTAAGTGTCTTGGTTTCTCTTTTTTTTTTCTTTCTTCTTTTCTCTTTTTCCCGTTGCTTTCGCATTTTTCACTTTATCGAGATTCACAGGGGTGATGCCAATTGGTGTCTACTTCGTTTCAAGACCCGATGAAAAGAGTCGCCCGCGACAGCGTGGCATTGTTGTAAACTCACCTAGAGTTTCTATCCCATCAATCCAACACGCTGTCTCGTATATCATTAAGCGATTTCACACTGGATCGTGTGTGACTTCATCGTAGCTTTGCGAAAGAGTGATTTTTCTTGTTCCTCGACAATGTGATTCGTCGATTCGTTACAGCTGTTAGGAGTTCAAGAGAGTTCGCTGATAAAGAAAGGAGGGGGGGGGGGGAGAAAAGAGAGACCGAATGAAGGAAAAAAAAAAGAAAAAAAAAAGCGTAGTAGAACGTCGATTGTATCGCGAGTGCTTCTATCGCGTATCCACCGAATTCATGATTCTCAGTTCCGTCGCTCCGATGAAAACGAAGAGAGGCGAGTACGAAGTTGCGCGAAGAGAAACGAAAATACGCGAACGTCGCCTCTTAATGACTTTCCAGTCTTATAGGTACTTTCATCCATGTTAAAGGCGCACCCGCATCCGCCGCTACCTACGACAGAGTCTCCTTTCGCTCCGCGATACCGTTGCGACGACAGCCTTAAGCCTCCTAAGCGTGTCACTACACAATTACAATACACGAACGTGAACGCTCCTCGCGTGTCGCTCCATTGAGAATTCAAAGCGTCGCCCGACATCCGGGATCGTCGCGTGCCGGTCGCAGTTTTCAATAATACATTTTTGCCGTGTTTAATGTCGGCGATGGAAAAAAAAAAAAGAAAAAGAAAAAAAAATGAAAATTATCACCCACCCTCTCCCCCCTTAACCAAAAAAAAATATACCACAAATTGACTAACCTCACTGGCGCTGCTGTAATTCGTCGTCAACTTCAGCTGCGGTCGCGTCTTTCCCAGCGAGCCGCGCGTCTCCTTCGCCGAACCAGGCGTCGCCACGTCGCTCGACGTCGGCGTCCCTTTGTCGGCCAGGCCGATCTCCCTCGTAGGCGTCGCGACGGTGCTGGAGGACGCGATCGTCTTGCCCGGTAACGACGTCGTGACGCTCGTCGCGATTGTCGCGGTCACCAGGGTTCCCGGTGGTACCGTCGTCTGCTTCGCTCTAATGGGGACGCGGCTTGAGGTTTGATCAGGCAGCGCCAGGCTCCCTGCTCCTCTCGCTACCAGGAAAACGATCACCGATAATACCAACTTCATCTTCCTTCGCTTCGAGATCACGTGCCCGCTGCCAGCTCCTGCTGCGCGATCTTCCCCTGAGATCATCCGGGTTCTCGATATCCTCCTGAAAACAACAACAGGAACAACATTGATTTTTTTTTTTTTTTTTTTTCTTTTTTAACCTCGATCGATCAGCATGGAATCCTTAATCAACCAAGGCTGATCCACCTTCCTCGTGCGCGTAATTACACCCGGTGTACCGGGCGAGTGCTTTTCTTGCGTTTACTTTATTTTTTCTTTCTCCCTTCTCACTCTCTTATTTGGCGCAACGCTGCTTCTCCGTTTTTTTTTATCTTATTGCTTTCGATTTTTTTTTTTTCGAAAAATCCCCATCTCTCGTCCGTAGCCCCATTACGATACGTGCTCGCGTGGCTCAGCACGATAAATGCTCTCGTATTGTAGCTCGTATGCACTATGGCTGCACTGCGGTACACAGATGCTTTTCCACGTATGTGCTGAGATCAAGGCGCCAAATGGTACGTATGGGATACCTTGGTACGTGATATTATATTTATGGCGGAGGTACCGTTTCGCACGCCTCCTGGCACACGCGGCATGACGTTTCGATGCGCGATATATATATATATATGTTGCCGGTGCGTCATATATATGTATATATCGCGCGTGTATAACGGGTGGACCATTGAGAAGGACGCTATGAAAATTTCTTTTTTTTTGCCACTGTCATTCGTATCGTATTCGAAATTGGTGATTTCCTGAGAAAAGGATATTTTGCTTGGTAATTTATTTTCTTCCCCATTTATTCTCGAGATCTCGTTTACCCATAAAAGAAATTCAAACTCGAGCTGCCATTTAAATTTCATTTTAAATGGAGATACGGTGATTGGTTCTTTCGGAAATTTATGTACGAATTCGATGTTTTGACTTTCTTTTTTTTTTTCAACGCGCTAAGATTGTTTTATGCCTTGACGTGTTTATGGATATCCCGGTGGGCTTTGCTGAGCGACGTATTAGCGTGGAGTGATTTTTTTTTTTTTTTGGTTTTTTTCGTTCAATCGGGTAAAAGTGATTTTCTATATTTTCTATTCTTTTTCTTTTTATTGACTTTCCCGTCACGCAACTTCATTCGCGCTTTATTATACTCGGTGTTATTATTTTTCTCGTCCGACTAGTTTTTCGTCTTGCCTTCCCGCTACGCCATCTCTTTCTCTTTCTCTTTCTCTTGCCTTCGGACTTACAGCCGTACCTAATCCTCGCATCGTAATATTCCACACGCTTTATTCCCGGCGAGAAGAAAAACTCGCTCGTTACCGACTGTGCCGGACGCTTATTTTTTGTTTCAAATGGAAATTCGCCACTGGCGCCAATTCATGCGAATATCAATACCCGATACCATTTCAGTGCTAGCACGTGTATCGAGACTTTTGAAAAATACGGGAAATGCGGATAAAAGAAGAAAAATTCGAACGTTCGTCTACAAATGCGAAACGGGATTTCGCATTGGCACGTGCACGTGGGTGACGTGTGCGAAGGAAAACAAAAAAGATCATACTCGCAAAAAATTTCTTCAACTCCGTTTCGTCGATCAAATCGCAGTGCCGAAAAAAACAAGAGTACCATAACGTAAGCTAGTCGCGCTACCCGATATGACAAATATTAATTTTCGATCTGTCGCAAAAATTTAAAAAATGTGCAAATTTATTCGTATCCTTAACTCTATTTGCAATGTGACGTTGCCGCTTGTATTTTCGTTTTAAGAGTTAATAAAATCTCGTATCCGCATATCGTCTTGCTTGCTAGCTTCTCATTGTGGAACTTGGTACAGCAGGAGACTGTGTTTCGTAAAATTGGGTCACTCGGTACATTTCGCAGCCTCCGTTATCTCTTCATTCGCAAGGCCGTGCAGATTACTGTTTTACCCACCTGACGGCATTGAAAACCTGTTGGGATGTAATTCAGGATCGATTGATATTTATTTTTGTTATCGATACAAGGGCACAGCCTCAGGTCACTCGTGATAACGCGTATCAATTTTCAATCCCAATCGGTGGATATAAGAGCATAATAAAATCTCAATTTATAGAATCTTCATCTCCGATTCTTGGATCAAATCATTTTCTCGTAGACAGTAGCCAGGTACTTTATTTTCTTACTCCGAACGTTCACTGTAACCACCCAGCATCCGACATCCTGGACCATCTTTGACTTTTTGCTGAAAAGCTGTGTTAATGCTTGGGGAACGCACGAGAAGGTCGTGGTACGGCGTTCTTAAATTTTTTCTCTCTCTCTCTCTCTCTCTCTCTCTCTCTCTCTCTCTCTCTCGTCGTGCCTTTGCTTTTTCTCACCAGCAATTCTGTCACGCTCGGTCTCTTTAGTGGTCTCTTGATTTTTCGTTCTAGAAGCCCCTCGGGGCCCCTCTATTCTTAATCATTCGACAAATTGTTACCTTCTCAGTTTATATAGTCGGTATAGTAGATTCCTGCTTTCATATTCAATTACGATAGAAATCTGATTCGTAGAAGCTTTTGTCTGTTCGTGGTTGCATAGATCATTTGTATGGGTATCGTGTGGCTGTGTATACATATAGGTATACAGGACGTTGATATTTAAGTAGGTACGTCCGCCAAGACACTCGACTTCCTCACTTTTTTTTTTTTTTTTTTTTTTCAGTCGCTAAGATCCTTTCGCTTCGGTACGACGGAATGATAATTGATGGACGGATGCGCGGTACTTTTTTTATTTTTGGAAATATTTGTATGTATTTACGTATACTTGTGGTAGCTCACGAACAGTACAAATGCGCTTTTAATGATTGCGTCTGTTCTTTGAAATTTGGAATTTTTCTTTTCTTTTCTTTTTTTTTCCTCTTCTGTTCCCCTTGCTGGTCTCTCTGTTTTGGCTGACTGCGAGTCCTTGCCGTACGACGTGAGACTGTGCTGAATTTGCTATTGCAAATTTTGAAATTTTTTTGAATTGTGATGAGAGTTTTAAAAAAAATGGTGGAGTAGGTAAAGTTGATTGACGATTAGGATGAATTTTGAATTTTATGGAAATAATCGTGAATCGATATTTTTTGGATGTATCAATTGTTTTTTCCTGAGAGACAATAACGGACTTTTTTTTTCAATTTTTGACCTATTTTCTCCTTGCTTCTCTCCTCGCGTCCCGGTCCTTCGTTTCAGGCGATTATGTAAACTCTGACACTGTTCTCTGTGAAAATACGACCATCCTCTGTGAAATCGTTCAGCCAGTCGAATCGATCGTCCTCGATATGTAAACCAGACTCAAAAATATTTGCCCTGAAAATAATTATCCTACAGAAACAAAAAGATCAGCGATTCTGTTTGAATTTCAAAGTTTGCCCGATAAATATGCAAACCTCGAGATTTGGTCTTATTGAGAACTTTTTTTTTTGGGAACGTAAATAATTGTCTTCGTACCATCTTCATTAATTCACCTCTCGTTATATCGGCGAAACTCGATTCGCCCGATTTTATTGCTCTGCGGTTGAGAAAAGTTGCGCACGCGCCTTTACGTCTACCTCGCGCGTATACATTACGGGGAAAGACTGTCAGAAAAAAAAAAGACGGAAACAAGAGCAAAATTGAAATTCCCTTTTCTTCCGTTAAAAATAAACGTCCGATACCCTATCGTTCCATTGGCAGATAGATCATATCCGTCACAGGTCAAAAACGCTAACTTCAAAGTACATTGACTTTAATTAACATCCATAATAAGTACAGCTATCGTAACGTAACGCAGCATAGCATAACAGTTGTCACTTATTTCGATCGATGACCGCGACGGAGATGACTCGAAAAAAAAAAAAATAAGAAAAATATATATACAAAAATTTAAAACCGTAATAACGTCACCGAGATATTTATTCGAAAAAATCTTAGCCAAGCAGAAAGAATCAAGACTTACCAGTAATTTCGAAGAACTTTTTTTGGAAATTCTCTCACTGTACCACCCACGTGTCGAATAACAACGGGATAGCGTCACTTGATTAACGTCTTCGAGTCGGGCGAATTTCGAAAATTCAATTGCGATTACTTTACCGTGCAAAGTCTTTACTCGATATGAATAATAAGCGAATTGAATTTTGGTCAAAATTAAGGTCGATCTTCATGGAGCGCAAGGTATGACTTCAACTTTGACTTCTGGTATGATCGACTTTGGGACTTATGACGGATATACCTCTATACGTCCAGGGTACCGCGTTGGGTTCGGGGTTCGAGTCCGACTGCGGCTTCTCGTAGAAGGGGTCCTGCCTATGAGTCCCCGCTAGTCCCACTTACCAACCAACCAGAAACCGCGACTACCGTGGAATCATAGTCGACGTTCGTCTTGCCAATCCTCTCTTGAAGTTTGGGCCCGTTTCCACGTATATTTTATCGCGAGGAAGCGCGAAAGCCCCCTGTCAATTAATGCTCTGGTCGTTTTGCGGAGAAAATTTAACTATTGGTTATCCATTTTTTTTCCCCCTTTAATATAGGCAAGAACCACTTCGATACCGGGAGTATCGATAAATACTAATCGATTTGTCGCTTTTGCGACGTATAGACGACTTCGATATCTCTTAAGATGAAATTCCGAAGGAAGGATGTCGCAAGCGGCCTAAATAAATACGTGTAGAGACTTGGGAACGAACATGAGATTTTATATTATACTTAAGACGAAAATGAAAATTGGGGTAAATATTGTTTTTGTGTCTCGAAAAATATTACGTGAAAATAGATATTTTTTTTCGAGGTTTCAAGGACGTTCTATTTTACGAAATAAATATTTTCGACGTTTGCGGTGGGTTGGAAGATAATATTTATTTTTATATCGCGTTAGGAAACCAAAATAATGTTTCGGGACTTTTTTTTTTTTTTTTTTT